GAAAACTAAATAAAATACCATATTCCATTCTTACAAAACTTCCATTAGCAATCACCAATAGATCTTAGTTTAGGATTAGATCAGAAAGATTTCAAGAGTATTTTTTCGGTGCTCTAGTATTTAGGTCTATATCCTATTGATCATCATTCAAAGGCTATCAAAGGATCTCTTTATATAATGGTTGAATAGGAATTACCTGAATTCTTAGATTATTTAGACACTAGATTCCAATAGACGTAGGCAATGAAAAAATTTGACAAGGGCTAGATTGAAAATGAGATCATTACCACAAGTTTATGTTTATAAGAGCAGCATGTCTAGTAAAAGATGCTTAAAGACATTAAGTCTGAAGCCAAGATTAGAATCGAACTTCTTGATATACCTGGTGCTTACCACTATCTTGACCCAGATTTCATTAAAATTTTCAAAGCTTTAACTGCAGCAGAGTCATATGAAATTTTTGAGAATAAGGCTATAAAGTACTTGATTGATTTTAATTTCCCAGTTGTAAGAAACTTTTTGCTCTTGCTCCTTATAATTCCTTTTACTATTTTCCACATTACTTTTGTCGTCTACATGAATGTCGTATATGAAAAAAGGACTGAAAGTTTAGGATACGAAACAGCAAATTATATCTTAGCCATCTATTAAGTCATTATGTGTGCTTACTTTTTGTTTAATGAGATGAGACAAATATACAACATTGGACTTTAGTATCTTTACTCAGTTTGGAATTACATTGACCTATTAGCTCCTGCTGGTGTAGCTATTCTACATGGCATTCAATTTGCTGAGTTTAAATAAATAGAAATAAATTAAGACCTCAATAGATGCGTTTTAGCTATTTCTACATTTTTAATGTGGTTAAAATTCCTTTCAACTCTAAGAATTTTTAAGAGTACTGGCTACTTGATCAGAATGATAGTTGAGGTTATCTATGATATGGGAATATTCTTGTTTGTCTTACTTATTACTGTAGCTGCTTTTGGAGACTCTTTCCTAAGAATATCATGGGGTAATGAAGAAGAAAATTAATTCACAACTTCATTTGTCCCCGCTGTTCTTTTTGCTTATTCTATGATTCTGGGAGGATACGATACTGAGGCTTTTGGTGAAGTTGTTGTTCCTCTCGTTTGGATATTTTGGGTTCTTTGCACTATCCTCGACTTAATTGTTATGCTTAATTTACTTATTGCTATCATATCTAGCACTTTTGAAAGAGTCAATGAAAATTAAGAATAGGCAAGTTACTAAGAAATGGCATCACTTATCTCAGAAAATCATTATCTTATTCCAAAAAGAACGAGGCAAAAATATGCAGAGCAAAATGTATACCTTTTAGTTGGAAATGACTTAGAGAAATTGAAAGACTTCAAGGATCCAATGGATTAAAAATTCTAAGATATTAAAAATGAAGTCTAAGAGATAAAAGCAACTTTGAGAGAAGAAATCAAGCTTCAAGAGTAAAGAAATCAAAAGGCTTTAGACACACAAAAAGAATCTGAATTAGAAATAAAAATGAAGATGGGAGAGATAAAGATCTTAATATTTTCTTAATAACCTGAGGAGAAAGTTAGAATCAAAATGCATCCCAGATTACTAACAAAAACTACTCTTTACTAATTTAGAGAAAGAATTTAATATGACAGCTATAAGTGGGATTGTTTTAGTATAAATTTCAGCGGGTGCTTGAGTGGATATACGGCAAATGAATTTAGATAAGTAGAAAATGAATAGATCTATCATTGCGCTGACTGCAACTTCGATCTTTGTCTTAAATGTTATGGCCAATATGAAGTTCATTAGCATGAATTGAAAAAAATTACTTTTGGTGAACTAAGGAAATAAGAACATGAATATACTTCTTGGGGTTGCGATGCACGCACCTTTATATCATGCAACATTGGCAAAGTCCATGATGATCCATTTGAATATTTATATGTTGATTATGACACTTATCATATCTTCTGTCAAAGTTGCGTTAAGACACTTTAGATTTCGATTTGATGAGATTATTATGTTTAAACATGATATCATATTATTTTAGGCTTAAAATGATTACTGCTCTTGACATTTGTATTAAAAGATCATTCGAAGAAATATTGGTGATTGTTATGTTGTCTTTTAACTTAAGTCAGACTCAAGACAGTATACAAGCATATAATCTATTTATAATATTCATTACTTTTATAAAAATTATTTATTTGATTAGATAGTTTTTAATAGTAAGTAATATTTTATATTTAACGATTGAAATATACTTTAATCAAAGCGGGGTTTTGGGGTTTTGGGG